AGGTTTCTTTTTCTCCAAAACCTCAGTGCAGTTTTGATTTCTGCCCTCATGACCATCAGTGCTCAATCACGTGCTAACTTCTGAAACAGCTGGGTACCAAGCAATTCTTTTTTTTTGGTACAGTGACTGTGCGTTACTTCTACCTCCTTTCATATTTCCTGTCATTTAATATTTTGCCTATAGAATCTCTTACTATTGCAATCTGAGGCTTGAATTTTTTCTTCAATTATTTCCATTTGAGAAATATTGAGAGTAAATTTCCTAACTCCAAGTCTTTACACATTATACTACTTTGCTTTGTAGTAGTAGTAGTAGTAGTACCAGTAGCAGTAGCACTATTTAGCTCTTTCACTTCATCTTCTTTACATTCAAGGGCAAGTTTCAGAGTCTCTTGCAGTATCTATTTAGGTCTTTTATTTCTTATCTTTTTAACGACCTTTTGCTTTCTTCATATATTATGCCCTTAACGTCATCCCACAATTCATCTGACATTAGTGTTTAATACATCAAATCTATTCTTGAGATCGTATCTAAATTCATATAGGATACACAAGAGTGGCATCCACTTCCTAAATAACCTGCCTCCGGAAACTCTATGAACTTTGATAAATATCAATAGTTGTTGAGGGGCTTTTCAAGACTTTTACTCATAGGGTTGCTATGAGTCGTGCTCGACTCGAAGGCAATCAATAACAACACAGTTCTATTTTGGCTCTTGTGAGCTTGTTTTTAATTTTCTCTAACTTCAACTTGAACTTGCATAGGAGTAATTGATGGTCTGTTCCATAATCAGTCCCTTATTTTGGTAATATTAAGCTTTTCTGCTATCTTTTTCCACAGACGGTCAATCTGATTCTTGTGTATTGAGTTTTAACTCACTGCCATCAAGTCAATTCTGATGCAGATTTATCCTGTATCAAGTTTCCAAAGCTTTACTTTTTTTAAAAAAAATTATTTTTTTTATTTCAATGAACATCTACAGAGATTTTGGAATTCTGTTCATTCATTGTTGCATTTTTCTCGCCGCCCCAAAGCTTTACATTTTATGGCAAGAGGCTATCAATCTTTCTCCCAAGGATCACCTGGTGGATTCAAACTACTTACTTTTCAATCAGCAACTCAATATGCCACCAAAGCTCCTTATTAGTTTGGGTTACAAACACGCAATCCTATTCCTAGGTTTTTAAAACAGAAATGTCTACCTTGGCCTACAAAGGATTATGTCTGAGGATGCAATATGATTGGCAGTAAACTGAGACAATAAGAGCACCCCTCCCCAAGATCATGAAGCATTAGGAAGAATTAGTATATGTGATAAATACATATCAAAGACCCATCTTAAAAGAATAATGCTGGCAGCCATGTTGGGACATTTAAACAAACTACCGTACAGAGCTCCTCTATCTATGAGCCCTGAGTTCTGAATGTGGCTCTCTGAAACTTCTATTAAGATGTAGTGTGATTCTCTCCAGCCACGAAGAGGTTGGGGGAAATTAGCAGATGAATACAGGAGAAATTAAAATTATATTTTAAATTAAAGAAATGGTGTATGTCTAAAAAAAAGAGCATAATACTGATAACATTAAATAATAAATGACACAGAATCACTCGCACAAATTAAAAACGCATGCACATAAAACACTACACATTTTCTAAGAAAACACAAATCAAAGGTACACAATAATCAGCTTAGAATGACTGCATTTAAGTCTGTCAGAGAATGCAAGGAGGGAATTGTAGTAAGAAGAAATAACAAAAACAAGGCTATCTTTTGGAAGACAGATAGGCCATGCTTGAAATCCTTACTATTCTAGATAGGAGTTGTATAATCTTGTCCAATTTGTCTAACTCTGAGCTCTTTTTTATTTTATAGTTTACTAATACATCTCATACGGCCACTAAGAGGATTAATAAGATTATTAATATAGCATTCAGAACATATTCTAAATTCTCCATAAACATTTTTACTTCCCCAACTTCCTAAAGGACCAAAGTCAATCTCTTCAGTGCACAGCATCTCCTCCCCACACCCCTGGACAGCCCCAAATCACCTTTCCAACCTTATCTAGTCCTGTCCCCTTAAGCAGGACTCCAACCACGGGTCACTCGTGCCACCTTTCTGTCCAGAACACCGCAGATACACAAGATCTGTCTGTCACCCAAGTTTTATGACAACCCAAGGGACTAAGACTCCTTGGGTGGGAGAAAAAAAGACTCGAAAAATGGAAATGAAGGCTGGGAGTCAAAGAAGACAGCATACACCAGCCTATGTGCAAAACACCAGAAGTGAGCACAAGCCAGGACACAACCAGAAAGCCTAAAGTCTCCAAGGATAAAGGAATGGAGGGGTGAAATGCCTTGAAAAGGAAATTATACACCAAGGAAGGGCCAAATGGAAGGAGAGAAATCTGGGAGACAGGGAGAGATTAGGACCAGGAGAGATACGATAGAGGGTCCTGGGAAGAGGAAAGGGACATGGAGATGGGGCTCAGAGTGAGAGAGAAAAGGAGATCGCCCACCAAGGACGAGGCGAAGTAAACCTGAAGGCGACCCAAGAGAAGTGACAAGCACAGAACAGAGAACAGGGTGAAATCCAGCGGAGGGTGGTAACGCCTGAAAAGAACGCCTATAAAGATCTTGGAAAGGGTAAGTGTGGGGAAAAGGGTCAGGCAAGTAGAGAACTGATTATTGAGAAGTCCAAGAATCAGCAGGACAGACAAGGAGAGAATCAAAGTCTGGAAAATAAAAATGTGAGCCAAGGAGGCAGATGTGAAGAAGGGAAAGGGCTGAAAAGGAAGCGAATGGGTAAATCAGGGGGAGTGGGGAGGGTGGAAACAAGGAAGAGCAGGCAGGATCAGGGGTTGGGCTACAGTGAAGTCACGGGAAAACAGAAGCTCCCAAACAGAGAAAGCCCTCAAACGCCCAGAGCAGGTAACCTCCTTGCAGCCGGTCCGAAAGGCTGGGCTCTGCGCATGCGCACACTGCTCAAGCCCACGTGCGCGCAGAGGGGTATGTGAGCTGTTCTACAGTAGTGATACTCGACGCCCCATTGGTCCCTTCCTCAAAGGGGAGGAACAATCTGGATTGTAAAGTGCTGGGGAGATGCAGGGGCTTGAGGGCCAACTCGAAGCACCATTGGCTGGCCTGATCCCCGAGACAGAGGGCGAGAGGTAAGAGAAGGGCCAACAGCTCTGGAACCCAAAGCTCATTGGATGGCCGCCTCACGGTGGTAGGCGGTGCTTGAAGCTGATTGGTGGCTGTAATAAGGGGCGGGAAAATAGTGAGAGGCAGCCGTTTCTCAAGCTACTTGTTTGCTGGAGGTTTGGTCTCCTCTGACTGACTGACTGAACCCGCTCCCGGCTGTGGTAACCCTCGGCCTGGCTGTGCCAACAACACCCCTCCCTCGCCGTCACTGCTCCCACTTTTCTCTAGGCTGGACCCCTCCCCAGGGACCCCATCCCCACCCCCTCAGCCTGGTCCCTCCGGAGCCTCTCGCGCCCCCCACTCCGCGCGCTCCCGCGCCCCTCCCCCACCCCGCCCCGGGACTGGCCGCGGCCCAGCGGTTGGGGGTGCCCCGAAAGGGTGGGATGGATCCTGAGGGGGAGGAATGTCGTAAGTGGGCGCAGGAGCGTGAAGGGAGGGCGGCGATTTCGGGGAATTGCATCCGGGAGTGCAGTGTGGGTGCTTCAGAGGAGCCTGGGGCGTCCGGCCTGGATCTGGGCCTCACACAGCACAGGGGCCCCACAGCCGTGTGGGGAACAGCCCTTAGTGGGGTGGGGCCTGTATTATCCGCAACAGGTGGACCTGTGGGTGGACAGGCGACAGGGATGGCCCAGGTGTGGTGGGCGGGCGCCCGTGACCTCGCCCAGGTGTGGTGGATAAACTCTTGTGACCTCACTCAGGTGTGGTGGGCGGGCGCCCGTGACCTCAGGTGTGGTGGGCGGCGCCCGTGACCTCGCCCAGGTGTGGTGGATAAACTCTTGTGACCTCACTCAGGTGTGGTGGGCGGGCGCCCGTGACCTCAGGTGTGGTAGGCGGGCGCCTGTGACCTCGCCCAGGTGTGGTGGGTAAACACCCATGACCTCGCACAGGTGTGGTGGGCAGGCGCCCGTGACCTCAGGTGTGGTGGGCAGGCGCCCGTGACCTCGTTCAGGTGTGGTAGGCAGGCGCCCGTGACCTCGCTCAGGTGCGGTGGGCGGGCGCCCGTGACCTCGCACAGGTGTGGTAGGCGGGCACCCGTGACCTCGCACAGGTGTGGTGGGCGGGCGCCCGTGACCTCGCACAGGTGCGGTGGGTAACGTGACTACGTTCTCGTTGTTGGTTGCCATCAAGTCAACTAGGACTCAGCGAGCCTGTGGGCCACACATCTGCACCCGCCCTACCCCGATCGCAGATGTGCTGAGCCCACCTAATGAAAGGGAAATGGGGCGAGGAAACAAGAATGAAACACTAAGATTACAAGCGTGCACGGGTCTTTTAATCCGAGAAGTCGGAGGGCAGGTCATGTGTGAGACTGACGGTCGAATTGAGTGTGGATGCATAAAGATACTCGTGGAAATTGACAAAATGATGGGAGGTCAGAGAGTAATAGTCAAAGAGGTTGTCAGGAATCCCTGTGGGAGAGATCAAGCTGCTCAGAGAGGGTGTAGGGATTGATTGTGGGGTACATGGGAGCACGTGAGCATGCCCAGTACTGGGATTTATGCCTGGGGGGAAGTGTGATGGTGAGCAAAAGTGGAATTTGGGAGTTGGAAAGGAAAAGTGAAACTAACATGAGAAAGAAAAGTGGGTGGGGTTTCGTAGGAAGCAGGTGCTCCTGGAAGGGGGATGCCTGAGAAAGAGCTTGGGTTGAATAAGAAAGAAGGGAAGGATGGTAAAAGCTGAATCCAGAGTGAATGAGATGGAAAACCACTTCAGGTGTCACTTCCCAGAAGCAGATAACGTTGGTCAGCACAGGGACCACTCAACCATGGTAACCTGCCATTCTTGCCCCTAGATACATGGAGTCAAATAAAACAGCTGATGACCCCCACTGCCCCTCAGACTTTGCCAAAGCAGGCGAGATTGGAGCCCCCCAGGACACTGAGCTCATCCCCAGGAGAACGGTCATTCGCTCTCCTACCTGCGCCCGATGCCGCAACCACGGTGTCACTGCCCACCTCAAGGGACACAAACGCCTGTGCCTCTTCCAGACTTGCGAGTGCCACAAATGTGTCCTTATTTTGTGAGTGTGAGGCTCAGGGAACGGTGGAGGGCATAGTTCTTCTAAAACTGGTTGGGTTTTGACTCACTATCCTTTTAGGGAGCGTCGAAGGGTCATGGCTGCACAGGTGGCCTTGCGTAGGCAGCAGGAGGCGCAGCTTAAGAAACAGCTAGCACAGGGGCTAATGAGAGGGACAGCCCCTCCCAAAGCTCGCAGCCGTGTCAAGAAGGGAACCATTCAACCAGAAGTCCTTTGTAAGTGTCTCTGTCCAGGAATAGGACAATGGTTTGGGTGTGGAAAGTATAAGTAGAGAAAAGAGTTCAATCCTCCCACTAAATTGTTGTGTGAACTTGGGTATTTCTACCCTCTGGCTCAGCCTGCCCAGCTGTAAAATCTGATTTAGTGTCGTGAGGATAAAGTGTGATCTGGGGTAGAAAAAGGCCACAATGAGGTAAGAGCTCAATGTGTGCAGGGTTGGGTCAAGGTTCAAGGAGAAATGTTTAACCAAAACTTTCCCTGGGTCTTCATAGCTGGGAAGGAGAACATAGTACCACAGCCTCAGACACCACATGGACCAATCCCACTGGCCCTGACATCTCCCGGGAAGGTAAGGAAACCCTGGGTCCAAAAGGGGGGAACTCCCATCCTAGCCACTGCCTGGGCTCCTTCCTCTGTATCCTGGGCATCTGCATTTTAGCTCTGACTCTGACTTGCTGTATGATCTTGAGCAAATAATTTCTCTTTCTTTAGCACAATGGGGTGGAACTTTAAAACCTTCCTAGCTCTGATGTTTTGGGGTCCTTGACTGTCTCAAACCATGCCTCTTGCTCTTGCCCATATTCAGCCTGTACCTGACTTCAGTTCATGCCTTTTGCCCTTCAGGAGAACTCCTGTGGACCTTTGCTACTCAGCCGCCCCCCGGAAGCCTTGCCTTTGTCCTGGACTCCACTGCCTCCAGGTCCTTGGGCTCCTGGCCACTGGCTGTCTCCAGGCTTGTCCATGCCACCCCCAGTGGTATGCCGCTTGTTTTGTCAAGACCCTGCTGTCCCGCTGCATCCCTTCCCAGGTAACATGGTCATTCAACATTCATTCAGGTGTTTGGAGGTTAGTGTACTTGTGTGGAGAGAGAAGAGGAAGGGTACAGAGCAGGGAGGATTGAGCCATGACCTCTGATCCCAATGTTGTTATGTGTCATCAAGTCGCCTACAACTCATAGCGACCCTTTGTACAACAGCCCTAAACCCTGCTCTGTCTTGTGCCAGGCTTATTGTCTCTGACACACCTACCCCCATTACTCCAGTCACTGAATCATCGAGGGTCTTCCTCTTTTGCACTTTGCCTCCACCCTCCCAAGCATGACATCCCTCTCTACGGACTGGTCCCTGCTTGCAGCATATCCAAAGTATGTCAAACAAGGAGCAGCATGGTCTCACCCTCTCTAGGATGAACCTGTTTATTCTCCTAGCAGTCCATGGTTATTCAATACTCTACTCCCGCACCACAGCTTAAAGGCATCCATTCTAAAAAAAAAAAAAAAAGGCATCCATTCTCCTTCAGTCATCGCTAGTCATTTGTCGAGCTTTCTGACACGTAGCAAATAATTGCAAAGTCCAAGGGATCAAGTACAACTTAGTCTCCAGACAGACATCGTTGCTCTTCGGTACTTTGGAGAGGTCTCTGACCACAGATGTTCCCAATACAATGCATCTTTTCATTTCCTGGCTGCTGGTACCAAGTGTTGATGTGGAGCCAAGCAAACTAAAGCTGTTAACAGTCTCAGTCTCTTCACCATCTATCATGGTGCTGCCAATCTAGATACATTCTGCATTCTCCAGCTCTCATCAGCTTTTAAAAAAAATTTATTTAACCCAGTAGATTAAAAAATATCATTTTAACTTACTATCAATATAAAAATTATTGAGAACGGTTAAATTTTGGGTTTTGTTTATGCTGACTCTTAAAAATCTGGTGTGTATTTTAAAGTATACACCAAAACCACACCCATTGCTGTGGAATCAGTTCTGACTTCTGGTGACCTCATATGTTACAGAGTAGAACTGAGTTTTATAGCACATTTCTGTTAGGATGAGCTGTACTCCACACAGATTTAGGGACTTGGTCAGTTTCCGGTTCTTTGTTTTGGTTTTTGGAAGGTTGTTACCTCTCCGTTTTCCCCTCCCTCATCAGGCTTTGACTCTGGTACCTCTCTCCGCCTGCCCACTCAGGGGCCCCTCCCAGCCTGTCCAGGGCCTCGCCCAATACTGACAGCTCCTCTTTCTGGAGAGCCTCAAGGACCCTCTGGCCTGCCCCGCACGTATGTATTTGCTTACCATGTGCTTACTGGACACCATAATAGATGACAAGGAAGAGGATCTCACAATAGGCTACCTGTAAGACAGTGGACAAGTAACTTGACCTCTCTGATCCTACTTTCCTATCAGTGGAAAGGAGCTGCTCTGCCAAGAGCAGAAGGCACATGGTTCGAATCCGCCAGCTGCTCTGTGGAAGAAAGATGGGCAGTCTATTCCTGTTAGAAATTTGTTGTTGTTGTTGTTCTTCTTCTTCTGCACCATTACTGCCTCTGAAAACCTTCTGGAGAGTCAGCCATGAGTTGATTCCAACTCTAGTACATAGCAGTTAACCTGGATTGTTATGAGAATTGACAGTAATGTATAGAACACATCTAGTAAAAACCCTGGCTTCCATTGAAACAGAAGATGGAGTAGAATTTGCTGTTGATATTGGGGTGGGGACACATGATGGGGAGCACTTCTACAGAGGACGTTAGAGAAAGCTTTCTGATGTTAGGCCAAGCTGGTCCTTCAGTTTCCCTGGTAATTGGGGGATTGTGGGGAAAGGGAACTAGACTTGGCACAGACAGTAATCTCAGCCCCTTCGGTTCTTTTGTCATGTTTTAAAGACTGGCACCAGTGATTCCCTGTAATCCTCAAAGTTGGCATAGGTCTTCACTGTACAGAAAACAAATTAAGTCAGGGGAAAGAAGTTTCCCAAGGCCACAAAACCTACTGTCCCAGCAGACACAATTTTCCAGATCAGGAAAAATAAAATCCTGCCCCTCTTTGTTTATTTAACTCTCCTGGCATCTTTTCTCCTTGTTTCTAGATGCTCAACTCTCATCCTTCAGCCCTGTGGCACCCCAGACCCTCTTCTGCTACGGCCACAGGTCCTGGTGGGACTCAGGACTCTGAGGGAGGGAAGAACAGGGCCAGGGAGGGAACCAGGGGCTGCAGGAGGACTAAGGGGCCAAAGTGGAAATTCCGGTATGCTTGTCTCACTTTGCCTTGCAGGTCCCTGGAGCCTCTCGCCTGACCTGGACATCAGGCCCCTCAGAAAGACAGCTTCAGAGGGAGGCAGCTGAGGCCCTTGTGGGGCTGAAAGATTCATCCCAAGCTCCCCGTGTGACTCCGTCTATTCCTCCAAACCCTGCGTGGATCTCCTTGCTCCACCCCTGTGGTCCACCAGGTAAACTTCCTGCCCAAACCAGTGCAGGGTCCTGTGAGAGGATAGGATTGGGATGACTGGGAGATGAAGTCACTGGAGTAAGCAGGGACTAAACCAAGGAGATCAGGATCACAGCTGAACCTATTCAGGTACAGACTCTCTGCCTAGTCTCTGGGATTGCATTTGTTTTTGTTGTTATATACAATTGTGTTAGAACTGACATGTCACTGACCTTCCGGTGGAATTTCAGAAGCAATTAGTAATAGCACAGGAGGGGTTGGCCCATCTTTCTCCCACGGAACAACTGGTGGATTTGAACTTTGGGTATAACTTTGGGCTGCCAGTGCAGTTCCTTCCAGTAGGCCACCAGAACACTTGAGGGCCATTCATGTCAAGCTTTACACTCACCAATAAATGTCCAGTGCCCTGGTGTCAGGGAAGATGAGGCCCAGAAGAGGCAGAGACTTGCCCAAGGACATAAAACAAGACAGAACCTGACTGCAGTCCAAGGCTCTCTCTCTTCACCCAGGCTACCTGATGAACTCTGGACAGGGGCTAGAGATGACAGCTGCACCAGAAAGGTCTCATAACTGCTTTCAGGGAGATTCCATTCTAATTGGAACCTAGTTACCTTCACAAGGCACAATTTCAAGTCTGTAGAAGACTGGAGGAAACTTGAGGATGAGAAATGTCTACGGAGGCAGAGAGGAAAATCTGGGAATCCTCTTTTAAATGAGTGGTATGTGAGTGACCACGGATTATCCAGTAGACAAATACAGCACTTGACTTGCTTACCAGATCATCTATCATGTAAAATTTCACATTTTTTCACTACATCAAAGATTGTGTTTCCAGGTATGACTGACGTCTGTTTCTCTCCCAACCTCATAGCACCTTCCCACAGAATCAAAGCCTCTTTTCCTATTTACAGTCCCTTAAAGTGATGAATTACCCAGTAAGCAGGCAAGCACTGGCTTACTTGTGCTTATTTACAGATATGCAGTGAACAATATCACATGTTGTAATCCACGCCTGAGGTGGGAGTGTTTTTCTCCAGGAGGTTGTATGTGCTCTACTAGTGCCCAACTTACGGCATTGCTTCTCCCAGAGCTAGGATTCACATGGTGAAACCTGTGCAAAATTAAAATTCACACAAGCTGACTTATGCTTGCTGGATAATTTGCTCCTTTGAGTGAGGAAATAAACCTAGAGGAGCTGTTAGAACAGAGAAGTCAGAGAGGGTTATGTGATTATGGCTCAGGAGTCTAACTCAGCTGTGCATGAAGGGAATGTTCCTGCACTAGGAACCCACACATTCGGAGACACTGAGTTCCAGAACAGGAAGTATGGTCGCTGTGATGAAGGGATTAGAGGAGACAGGATGGAGGTGGGAAAATAAGCAAAGAGAAGGTGTGAACAGTAATCTAAGTAGATGAGAATGAGGCATGGGTTGAGGAGCTAGAGAAGGGACTGGAGAAGTAGAAGTGACCTGGTCTTGCCCCCTTTATTCCTACAGCTCCTGCTGGAGGAAGAGGATTCCAACCTGTTGGACCCTCTTTCAAGCCCAGCCCAGCTCCCTCCGTTGCTGTGCATATTGGGCGTCTAGGTTCCATTTCTCTCCTGAGCTAAAAGCCCAGCAGTGGAGCCTCTCATGGGGACCAAAGCCTATAAACACTCCATATCTGGTATTGTACTTGAGTATTTATGCATGACATTTAATGTAGTACAGGCGTCTGGCTGGGTGTTTGTTTTTTTTTTAAACTGTCACATGCCTTGGAAGCTCTCTGTTCCTTTCCTAGCATGGGTGCATTTCCTTGGCTTAAAGTGCATATTCTTTTACCCTTCCCTCGAACCACCTCAGGTCCTGGGATCTTCTTAGATCCTTAATAAAAGCGTCAGTTGTAGAATTTAAACTGACAAGTATTTAAAAGCTTTTTTTTGCACAAGTTCATGTTCCAGGCTACTTACTTAACATGTGACTCTGTACCTAAGCAGTTATCTCTGTCTCCATGTGAAAATAGAAACACATTGCTACTTTGTATCGGTTTATGTTAAGTAAACAAGAAATAAACCTTTATTGTTGTAAGCCACTGAAATTTGGAGATTGTTAACATCCCTAAACTAGTCTGTCTTAATTGTTTACTTTCAAAGTGAGTTTGTTATTACATAATCATCATAAATAAGCACAAACTTTGATTTCTCATTCCAGCCAAATACGAAAGAGCTTAGTAGAAGGCAGTTCACCAACTCAGTAAGCACTTACTCTATGCCAAGAACAGGAAGTCTCCAGCTCTGCAGGGGGCCACAAATTTAAAAGCAAGTTGTGTAAATTAATAAAGGTAGCCCAGTGGGGTAAGGTCTGGAGTGTATACCTACCTAATGGGAAGCCACTTCTGGACCTAGATGTTATCAGGCCGGAGTGTGGGCTCACCACAGCTACTTCTCCAGGTTCTTTCAAGACAAGCTAGAAGTCTAGACTTCAGTGTGAAATATATTCATTTCCAGATATTGAGCAATTTTTTTCTTTTATGTGACCCAAACAAAACATGTGTTTGTTCTTAGGTGCTGTTGAATTGACTACAACTCAAAGAAAATTATGAACAACAGGTCGAAACCTTGCCCTATCCTGAATCAGTCTCATGGTCTCCTAGTTTTGGCCAATGGAATGCCAATTTGATGCTGATCTTAACATTTTTACATGGGGAAATGAGGAAAAGAAGGATCAAGTTAGTCATTACATTATCAAGGTTAATCCTGAATTAGGGAAGCCTGAATGTCTAGTTCTGAAGGACCCACAAAACATTAGAGACAATTTGTCATTTATTGAATCCTCCTTGCATGAAATTCACATACATCTTCACAGAAGTAATATACTATATGTGACTATTCCCATTTTACAAATGAAACAACAACCTTAAAAGAGATAAAGTAACCCAAGAGGCCCAAGTGTCATAAAGGAAACTTTTAGGGAAAGATAATGGAGTGTCTCATCTTGCTAGGTCCTAAATTAATTAATAGGTAATTTTTTCAAAGTACTTAATGACAATTCAGACTTAAGAAACAGAATGCATCAGAAGGGTTTTTCAAATCTTTCCTATTTCTACTAAAGATGTCATCAATAATAAGATCTTACTTGCATTTGTTTTTTGGTCCTCTGCTGTTGAATCCTCCTTGCACCATTCCAAACACATGAAGACATGTTGAGCTATCCCAAAGTTACGAAGACCTAGAAACTTCCACCCTACCAGTCCCACCCACCCTCAGAAAGGGCAGACAGAAAACTCCAGGATCTGCTTAATCATTTATTCTTCTGCCTGATGTCATCCTTCTTTTCACCCAAGATAATTAAGTGATGCCACCTTCTTTCTTGAGATAGTAGGCTGCTTCTACTTTCTAACAGATTAAACACAAATTTAGTGCCCTTGAGTGGTAGCTGACTCTCCATTGGATTTGTCAGGCAGTAAATTGCACAGGAAGAGATTACCCATCTTTCTCTCTTGAAGCTGCTGGTGAACTCAAACCACCAGAGGTGCAGCCTTTGAGTTAGCAGTACAGCTCGCTGTGGATCACACCACCAGAGCTTCCCTCTAATAGATTATAGCATAATAAGACTTCAACACTTCTCAGGACACAGCAAAACACAAAAGACAAGTTCATTTCACACCTTCATCTTATCTCCATGGGTTCCAGGTTTAGATGTGTGATTGCTCCTTATTAAGCCTGCCTAAGGCCTGTAGTACCATACTATCCTGGTGACAGATGGTAAAGCCCACATAGTCATGGGAGAAAAGGAAGGATTGTGATGAGCAACATGGCTAAGACATTGTTTGGTATTGAGAGATTTACAAAGGGTCCCCAGTACTCCCAGATTGGGTAAAAGTTAAAGTGTGGCATGAGGAGGAGGCAAAGAAAAGGTGATAGAAATTAGGGGAAGGAATGAAGAGCAGGTCTTTCTTTACAGACACTTCCCATTTTTCTGCAGCCTACCTTTTTTTGGTGCCAGACTGTTTTCAAACCAGCCATTGGTTGTGCCTCTTGTTCTCAGTTGCCTTAAGCTCCAACTCAACCTTACATGTAACAAGCCTACACTATCAAATCCTAAGGACTTCTTAGTACCCACAAGAAAAGGAGCAGGTCTCTATGGTGCTCAACCGTGGGGAAAGATTGCACATGCTCCTATGCCTACACCTTCCAAGTGCAGCTTGTTTCTTCATTGTGACTGTGGGTTGATAGTGGGGTTCTGGTCTCTGACTGGCACCTGAAGATGCCAGCCAATGGACCAAGAGTACTGATTTGTGCATCATTCCCATTGTAGGTGGAGAAAGATGTTTTTCCTGGCCCAATAAGGTAGTGAGTGTATCTTACAAGTTCTCCTTAGGAGGTTTGAGGAAACCCTTCACATGCCCCTCAGCATACTGGAAAGCATCACACATTGGCTTTCCTTATTTAACATGGTTGCATCCGTTGCCTGCACTTGGAACTCAGGGTCCTGAGTTGAAGAATATGACAGATGTGTCAGGTAAATTCCAGCAATAAGGAAAATGCAGAGTGAAACAGCTATTTTGTAGGTTATCAAGATCAGAGATCCTAACATCTCCAGTTTTAAAAGTTCCTATTTACAGAATCTGTTGGAAAGAACGTGAGTGGTCACATGTGTGAATCCCAGTTCAGGCTATAACCTTAAGTGTTTTTAGACAAGTGACTTGACTTTCTGTGCCTAAAGTTGCCTGACAACCAGTTCACAGAATTATTGACTGTGAGCCTGCAAAACCTAACACCTTCAAAAATTAAAGGGGGGGATATTAACAGGGAGCCCTGGTGGCGTAGTCTTTTGGGGGTTGTGCTGCCATGGGGGCCTGGGTGTCACGTCTCTGGCAGTGCAAATCCACTGGCAACTCTGCAGAAGAAAGACAATCTCCAATTTTTTCCAGTCCCACCCCTACCATTCAATATGCAGCCTCAGAACCCCAAAGGAGGGTCAGTTACAAATCAGTTCAAACTTTAAGGCAATGAGTACAAACTAAGGACACAGCACTGAGAAATTGCATTACCAAAAATCAGACTGCTTGGAAGTTTGCTCATTAAAACTCTTCATCAATAGTGAGAACAGAACATTGCATTCATCTGGAAGATCCAAGTCCTATCAGTCACAGACAAAGAGATTTCCAACCCAGGTACAGAGCTTCAGATAAAAGGTTACCAAAGACAGTCCTTTATCTTAACTCTAGTTTCCAAGAAAACAGATCTCTGGATATTCTTCTCAGACCAGGAAGATGTTGACACCATCTTTGCTTTGAGTTCATCAAAATTCTGCTTAACAAAAATGTCACCTAAGCTTAACCTTTGCCATAAATCCTAGATGAACCCTGCTCCTTCCTTCAGTGAGGCAGGCTACATTTCCTCTTGAAATGTTAAAAAAAAAAGCCCAAGCACTATTGAATTTAACTCAAAATGACCTCTGACCTCTGCTGTGAAGCCAATTCCAGCTCACAGTGGTCATCCATTTGGATTTCTGAGGTTGTACGTATTCATAGGAGGAGATTGCCTATCTTTCTCCAGAGGAACAGCTGGTGGATTCAAACTGCTGACCTTTCATTACTGCACATGTAATGGACTGTGCCACCATGGCTCCTTAGTCAAAATAATTGGGTTTATTGATTGTTTAACCTAACATCTCCAACAAATTGAAAAACAACAGCAAGAAAACCCGATGTTGTTGTTATGTGCCGTCGAGTCGCTTGCAACTCATAGCGACCCTACGTACAACAGCCCTAAACTCTGCTCTGTCCTGTGCCAATCGCACTGTCTCTGACACTCCCATCCCAATTATCGCAGTCACTGAATCAATCCACCTCATAGAGGGCCTTCCCCTCCTGCACTGTCCCTCCACCCTCCCAAGCATGATGTCCTTCTCCAAGGACCGGTCTCTCCTCACAACATGTCCAAAGTATGTTAGACGGAGCCTCAGAATCCTTGCCTCCAAGGAGCCACCCGGTTTAACCCTTTCTAGGACTAATCTGTTTGTTTTCCTAGCAGTCCATGGTATTCTCAATACTCTTCTCCAGCACCACAGCTCAAAGGCATCAATTCTCCTTCTATCCTCCTTAGTCATTGTCCAACTCTCTGATGCATAACAAGTGATTGCGAAGACCATGGCCTGTATCAGACACACCTTAGTCTCTAGGGAGACACCATTGCTCTTCAGTATTTTGGAGAGGTCCCTAACAGCAGACTTTCCCATGGCAATGCGCCTTTTAATTTCCTGGCTGCTGGTGCCAAAACTGTTGACTGTGGAGCCAAGCAAACTAAAGCTGCGTACAATCTCAATCTCTTCACCATCCATCCTGATGCTGCCAATTGGTCCAGTGGTGAGAATCTTTGTCTTATTGACATTGAGCCTCAATCCATATTGGAGGCTGCAGTCCTTGACCCTCTGCAGCAGGTGCTTCAGAAAACCTGATACCCTCTAAAATAATGAAATTATAAAAATTATGGCAGAAATTAATTAAATAGAAAACAGTAAAACAACTGAAACCATCAACAAGACCAGGAATTGGTTCTTCAGAAAGGTCAATAAAATTGACAAACCACTAGCAAAACAAAACAAAAAAAAGACACAAATAATCCCG